TTTTGGGGAATTGGATATTGTGTTATTTGTATATATGGTTTGTATTGTCATGTATGTGTTTTTGAAAACTTTAATAATAAATACTTATTAAAAAAACAAAAACTGATGATGGGGCAGGCACATGCGCTGTAGAGATCTTTGGTGTGGAGAAGAGGAGAAACTCAGTGAAGCTGAATCCATGAAGCTATGAGCGTGACACCATGGATTCAGCGAGGAGTCTGCGCTGAATTAGAGACCGCCACCGGCGCTGAAGGGACTCCTGAATACAAGTGGAAGGAAGAAGATGATCGGATCAAGAGGCATCATTTAGGGTAAGTCCTTAAAGCACCATGGTGGGGGGAGGAAAGTAATTGTGACTTTAATGTTCCTTCTAAGCCTTCGATGATTCAAAGGCAGTGTACAAGAATGTATTGATTCTTGATGGGGATCATGTACCTAACATTGTAGGTGTATTCTGGTTTTGTGCTGCCCTAGGCAAGACTAAACTCGGGTGCCCCCCCCTAATCTACATTTGCCCCACCCCTTTTCACCCTAGAGCCCCGCCTCTTCCTCGCTGTACATTAAAAGTGGATTATGAATGCCTGTGCGGGGTATTAGGGGGCTGTGCGGGGCCTTAAGGAGCTGTGCGGGGTCTCAGGGGGGATGTGCTTCAGCAATGCCCAAGTGCTGATCCAGTGCGATTGCAAAAAATAGTGCATGCATTTATTTCATGCACTATTTTTAGTGATCTCACTGGACTGGAAGCTGGGCATTGCTGTACCATGCGTTCTGGTGCGGACAATCTCACTGTGGGCGGGTTGGGCATGTCTGCAGTGTCATTTACTTGAATGGCACTGCCACGCACCCTCCCACCCCAGTACGCAGGGAGGCTTGCTTTATGCGATCCAGTGCGTTCTGCCCCCTAACTGTGCTGGAATGCACTGGATTAGGTGTGAACAAGCTCTAAATATAATGGATCCCAGCACAAATGGCTGCCTGTGGTACAGGTAACACCTGCATACAGGTATATACAGAGGCATAACTAGAACCTTCAGGGCCCCGGTGCAAGAAACCATGAAGGGCCCCCCCAACCCTCCACCGCCATGGCACCGCATGGTTAACAGAAAGGATGCCGAGGTCCCCAGCAAGCACGGGACCCCGGGCAGCCACTTCAGTTTAAAAATTTAATGCGGTGTTCTGTCGAGAACGCCAACCCAGTTTCATTTTACGTACAGACGGGATTATCGAGAAAACCGGCATTTATTTACAAAGTATTTATTTGTAATGGTTAAATGTGACCGTTAATAATATGCCGTCCATGGCAGTAAATGACGGATGGCAGTAAATGACGGATGGCAGTAAATGATGGATGGCAGTAAATGACGGATGGAATATTATTAACGGTCACAATTAACGATTTGGATGAAATTCTTTGTGAATAAATCCGTTTTCCCCCGATAATATTGGTCTGTGCGCAAGCACAGATGCTGAGGTCGGCAAATTTGACTACGTTGGCGTTCTCGACAGAACACCGGTATCTTCGTTTTAGTATCGAGACATTTTCCCGAGTATAAGTACTCGGGAAAATGCCCAGTATGGGGACTGGTGCATCCCTACTTAAAAATATAATGCATTGCTGGGACTTGTAGTCCTACATAGTTGGTGCTATTCTGCATTGCTGTATAATCATCATACAGCAATGTAGAATACCACCAGCTATGTAGGACTACAAGTCCCAGCAATACATGGTAATAAAAGTCAGCAATGCTGAGTGCCACCAGCCCCAGAACCCTCAGTGCCCCGGTGCAAGAAACCATGAAGGCCCCCCCCAACCCTCCACCGCCATGGCACCGCATGGTTAACAGAAAGGATGCCGAGGTCCCCAGCAAGCACGGGACCCCGGGCAGCCACTTCAGTTTAAAAATTTAATGCGGTGTTCTGTCGAGAACGCCAACCC